AGTTTCTGAGGTTCTTCAAGTCAAGTCTTCAAGTCCTTATAAATGCATTGAGTGATAGATCTCAAGATCATTTAAGATAATAATAATAATAACAGTGATGACAACAATAACTATAATATCTTGACATTTTAGGAATTAAAGCCAATTTTTGCCTCTATTACAGACACACACCATTCTCCAAGTCTGGCAGCCACCCCACCACTGCCAGCGAACACAGCCAACACACCCCAACGGCACACACATCTCCAATCCCATCCCTAAAAAAGCCTTTTGTGTGCACAACTATTTTCTCCCACCACGGATTCAAATCTCAGTTTGACCATTTAACAGCTGAGCTCAAGCCTCCGTCACTTTAGAACTAGTAATGAAGGAACGTTGAGTTGCTTTATTAAAAGCTTATTGTATTACTGTATTAAAAGCTCACTGTATTATGTGGAGTATTATGATAGAGAGATGGACTGAGCAAGTGTGATTACCTGCATCTGATACAGCATTCATTAATTATTCAGCTCAATCTCATATTCACAATAAAACATTAGTTTGAATCTCCTCTGAGGAAAGCCATATCTTTGTCGTACTATCTTTCATCTGTTAAGGGTGATTTCCAATGACAGCGCTGCTCACTGCATTTGTTAACGGCATCTTACAAGCTGTTGATGAAAGTGAAAACAATGTCCTTGTTTCAGTCTCTTTCAATATAAAAGTCTTTACTGCAGACTCACTCAGAAAAACAGTCTCCTGTCCTTGTACAGCCTGTGCAGGTCCTGTCAAATAAGTTAAAAATTGACAGTCTAAAACTGCATCCCACCTGTGACTTATTTGACAATACCTAGGCTATCTGTGAACAGATCATTTTAAGGCTAATGATGCATAGTTATGATCTGTAATATATATCAGTATGTTAGATTGTGTTTCCTGTATTACTATTGGCTTTACCTAATAAAACCACTGTAATTTTGTTATTAATATATTGTCCACAGACAGCTTTTGCAGTTAAAAGATAATCACGTGCACGCAGACAGGCCTCCTGGCTCAACTGGGACTCGAACCTTCTCGCTTTGAGATGACAGTGCTACCCACTGAGCCACCATGCCACCCTTCTTTAATTATTTATGCTTAATAATGTATGTATTGACTTTATATAGACCATCAGCCACCCTGCTCTTTAAGATATCATTATTGGCCATTGAAAAACCTAGTTTATCAGAACTGAATATGAGCTGATTTCTGCTTTCTACTTAAGCGTTATAAAGTCATAATCATGCATAAAATGAAAGCAATGGATTTGAAATTAACATATATGTCTATGTAGTGTACAGTTGTTTTTAAATCGTAAGTGGTAAACATTTAAATCTCTCAGTACTAATCTCCAAACAGATCATCTAAAATGCTGTATTTCATGTTTCCATATTTTCAGTTCACTTCAAGTGTTTGAGTTCAAGGACTGAATGGGCATGGTGTTGATGACTATGTGGTATTGTGATGGTGGTGAATGTTGTATTTCAACTCTTCATGGTGTATATCTGCTTTGTTGAACAGAGTATAATTGCCAACCACAAGATCAGAGTTGGATGTGGTTCCTCCTTATTTGCGTCTCATTTTGTCATTAACTTGGGTGTTTCACAAAATGGAACCTGAACAGGAACCTTCCAAAGCCAACTAGTTTATTTGAAACAATTTTCCTCTGTTTGCGTTTACTGGTGTGTTATATGAACATATCGCATTTGTTTCATACTTAACTGTTTATAGTTGAGCACTGACATTTCTACATTTTCAGTTTTTTATTGTGTTTTAATACAAGCCTTATCTTTCTTATCTAGTGGATTCCCCATATTAAGCCACCTTTCTTGCAGTCATTCTTACCTGTTGAGCACAAAGTCAAAGCTGAAAGGAAAATCACGGAATGAAAACAAGAAATAGGAGAAAGCATACACACTTTAGCCTAAGACAGAGCATTATGCATAAGACTAAAACCTTTTATGACGGAAAGAAAAATTCTACAAGGCACTCTCTGAAACTGCAACCCTCATACCGCTAGTGTACTAAGGGGTATCGTGTCCACAGTGGACAAGTTAATTAGAGTTGGAATGCTGGTGGAGAGAGACCTTAATGAGGAGAGAGCATTTTAGAGACAGAGAGAGGCTGAACGGTCACGAAAATCTGCCACAGTTGGAAAAGCCGTTCAAAGTTTTTGTCTTTTTGCTGTCTTGGATGGAACTTCTGAACATCCTATAACTTTTCTGTCTGTAACGGGTCCCAGGTAAGGGAATCCACTCTGCGTTGTGTTGATGTCAATCAATAAAGAAACTTCAGACCTCTCACTGCTTGGCACTATCTTTATTTTCTGCATAAATGGGGAAATATGTTGAAAACATGAATTTTGTGACTCTCTTCATTTAAGTAAACACCGTTTAATGCCTCGACAAACCTCGAGACAAACTTCTCTCGGCTCAGAAGGAAGTGAACTGAGCGGGCAAAGCGCGCGCGCGGCGCAAGAACAAGTATATATACTCTTACTCGGCTCAGAAGGAAGTGAACTGAGCGGGCAAAGCGCGCGCGCGGCGGCGCAAGAACAAGTATATATACTCTTACAGTGACAATGCACTTCCTTGAACAAATCTTGAAAATCATACATCTTAACTTGTAACAATAAAATAATAGATACAGTCATATTAAAGAAACAAAATTAAATTTATATTTAATAGGAAAAAGGGGGATTTTGAGTGAAAATAATATAACCAAAATAACTCCGTTACATGTCTCTGACTTTACCATTAATTATCTGCTGTCTTTCCTTTGAAGCTTTAATAGATACAGGCAGCACCTATTCTTTAATGCAAGAATCCATTTGGCATTATATCAAGGAAGGAGAGAAACACTGGCAATCTGCTAGAGGACAGACATTCTCCCTTGCCAGTGGATATCTTCAGCATGCCTCAGGAAATATAAGATTATACTGCATGCTCATAGTTTCTTTTGCGCTTTAGTGAAGTGATATACAGCGTGCGCCGCCGCATTTGCGCATGCGAGTGAAGAGAACTTGCTACGAGCACATAACATCTGCCAAGACCGGACAGTTCGCTTTTCTGAGGTGAGAGACTTTTTATTTCGTAACAAGTTATGAAAATAACGATAGAATAATGACACTGACCTCAAGCCTGGCAACATCTCATCTGTCCACAGGTACTGAATCGGGACAGCGTGTTTTTCTCAGGCGCTCTTTACTTAAACTGCATCTGACAAAAGTGTCAACAGCTGTCACGCATGTCTTTCAAAATAAAAGTCTCGCATCAGAAAAACAATTAGAATTATGTTTTTTGTTGTTGATGTTGTTTCTTTGACTGTACACTCCACGACCCACCAGTTGAGAAACACTGGTCTATAACTTCCCAACTCCCAAGAAAGTGAAGGAAGTCCAGCCATTCCTTGGCTTGGTGGGTTGGTATTACCACTTCGTAGCTAACTTTTCTGAGCATGCAGCGCCTCTTCTTGCCCTAAAAAGGATGCCTTGTGGGTACGGTCTCGGGAGTGTCATTCATTTGAGAATCTAAAGGAAGCCCTGCAAAAAAAACTCCCATACTTAGACCTCCAGATTTCAGTCAGCCCTTCAGAGTGCAAACAGTTCCTCGTATGTGTAAACATACCTGGCAATAAAGCTCGTTCTGATTCTGATTCTGATACCAGTAACATCGGCTTAGGAGCTGCATTAACGCAGGAAATGTAAGAAGGTGAGAATGTAGTAGCATATGCTTCCAGGCTGCTCCAAGGTGGTGAGAAGTCATTCTCTACAGCTTTATCAAAAACAAAAGAGCATCTTATCCTCATCCACCAGCTGTAGTTCCTAAACTGCATCTTCCATTGATTTGACATCCATTCCACCCCAAACTCACAGCACAGACCACGCAAACCAACAGGTCAATGCACCACAGAGCTTGTGGGGGAATTAACCCACAATGGTCTCTGCATATTAAACAGGGATAGTGTTTTTACAATCCAAAGAATTACACACCTCACCTTCAACAAATTACATTTACAATAAAAAATATTTTGGAAACAAAATTCCATTTAAATATGCTTTAAATTTGACATATCAAAAGTAAAAAGTGAACATGACTGATGATATTTCCTATAGGCACTGAATATACATCAAAAACACAACAGAAAAACATGATGCTTTACAAAAAGATTTTACTCATCTGCTGGTTGAAGGCACATTTGTAAAATGCTATGGTATAAAATCATCCACAGTTGTTTTGGAGAAATATAACATATAAAGACAGGCAGTTCTAGATTTGTAATCAACTCTTTCTGTCCACGAGAGCAAACACGCAGCGCAGTTTTCATGTGCTACACGTCACTCAGAGACAGGGACGCGGGAAGTAGGGGTGCTGAGGGGGCTGCAGCACCCCCCGTTTTCACATGGTTGCAAATGCAACGCCAAGTTTGTTCATTTAAATTTATTCAGTTTTAGCATTTAATAATTTATTTGTAATGATCTCTGAAATGTAAATTGTAAGTGGGCTATAATAAACCCATGTTTATCTTTATAAACATGATTAATTTTACTTGTGATGTTTTCTATATGGGATGATTCGCCTAATCCTCATGAACACGTGACGCTAGCGCATGGTATCGGGACACACACAGCACCCCCAACCAAAAACATCTTCCCGCGCCCCTGCTCAGAGGTCATGCTCAGGCGTTTATCAGTCCTGTGTCACTCTGAGCCAAAGGTCCGGCTGCACATCATCGCTAACGCCCATCTGACGTATTTCAGACAATATTGATGGAAGATTGTTTTATGTAACATCTACAGTAACAGGTTTGTTTATATTAGGGATGCACCGATACTGGTATCGGTATCGGCCCGATACGGAGCTCTTGTACTCGTACTCGTTAAAATGCCCCGATATCAAACGCCATCGGTATCGGCAAGTACCAAAAATAAAAGTATCGGTATCGGGCGAGTACTGGAAAAAGTGGTATCGGTGCATCCCTAGTTTATATATGCAGCAGAGCTGGCGATCTGATTTATCTGACCGCCGTAAACGCTGACTAACATGGACTGAGTTGTGAAAGAAACGGACATGCAGACAATCACAATATTGTAACAATGTTTGATTATTAGGCTGAAAAGAAAACACTATAAAATTAGATCCAAAACCGTAACATCAAAATTACATATATTCACAATATTGATATGACTCAACGATTCAACTTAAAAACCTGCAAGTCATAGTATTTGATTGTAAATATAAACACAAGCATTATAAATCTGAGAATCATCTTTTCCTTGGTGAGATCTGATCATTGTAAAGAGTTGTGCAGAGACAGTCCTGCTGTAGGACTTCAGATGCAGACGTGCTTTCATTTCCACCAATTTCCATCATAAAGACTGGGACGCTGTCAATTACTAATATCAATCAAACTCAAAAATTACATCAAGGACACAATATTCAATTCAATCACTAATTTAAAAGTTAGATATTAGTTATTCTGCCCTGTAACTGGTTTAATTCAGACCTGATGCAGAAACTCAGCCGATCTAACTTTTCTTTTGGCATTTAGAGTGGGCTCAGTCTTGTAATGGGACGTGACTGAGAACACAGGACATCTGCGGATGAGATGTGGATTCCCGTGTGATTCTGGGAAGCTGTGGTCCGTGTCACGTGACGGCGTAAGACGCTCACACTGTCCTGGAGGGCAAGCGCTGTTTGTACATGCCAGCCAGAGCCTTGGCGGCGGAGTAGATCATCTGCCGGCGGGGCATGCCGGTGAAGGCCTGGTGCCAGTCTGTGCGGCTGACATTGGGCACGCTTCTCTCCAGAACCTCCCCGACCGTCACCAGCAGACCGGACCAGCGCAGGTTATAGTCTGGAGGAGTCAGCGCCTGCGCCTGCGGGAGAACATCACACACCAGCGTGTTAGTATGACAGCACTAAACATGCATCACTTTAATGTGAGTTCGTTGCTCTTTAGCTGTTAGTGTAGCACTTTTCTTCGCTCTGACCATGGACGTAAACTGTTACAATGTTGCATTCTCCTCCTGGTTCAGTTTGCTTTCACTAGGCAACATTTCAAAGCTTACCGAAATGTGTTTATGCCAGTCACATGTGATTAAAACTGTCCTGTCATTGGCCATTTATTTAACAGGGACCATGTTGTGCCAGAGTTGGCTATAATGCATCTGCAGTCCCTGTTCCTCATAACCTTATCAAGATGGATTGACAAGTTATCTGTGTGGGCCTATTGTGGCTTTATCTGTAGTCGTTACATGCACATGTATTAAAAAACAAAAAAAAGAACATACATTATATATATCACACACACACATATTCATACAGTTTTATGCAAAAGTTTGGGCACCCCTCGGGCTGCATGATAATTTGCTCTATCTTAATAAGAAAAGCTGGATAATGTGACGTTATTCCTACAAAAATTCTTGTTGTAGCAGTACTGAGATATATGAAATCAAATAAAATGTGAAAAACAGGCTGTGCAAAAGTTTGGGCACCCTTTGTTGGTTTGAATATCTGTAGTCAAATACAAGGTATTCCTTGAATACCTTTTGCTGACTGATCACAACACAAAATTGATTTGACTGACTCAATGAACCTTACACTGCAAACCAACCATGAACAAAGATATTTAAGGTAGCTGATTGCAAGTAGCGCTTCTCCTTGATTCTCCACTGGAAAGCAGCAACATGGAAACTCCCTAATGACCAAGCTGCTGATTTCTCACCACAAGCAAACTGCCCCAGAGCTCGGTATCCATCAGACCAAGACCACCTTGTTCAGGCGAGCTCAGATTGAGTATTCTGGTTGCTGTGTTCACGTGTGCCTAAACAAACTGAACTGAGGGAGAATATGAAGAAAATGGCAGAGGAACAGCCCTCTAAATAAGCCAGGTGTGAAAACGAGCTCAGTCACCTGTGACGGGCATCACTCTGAACAGCTACTCAGACCTGATGCAGTGTTACCTGCTGTATGTGCTCCAGGGCCACAGGTGTAGCCTGAGTGAACATCTCAATGTGAATCCCGATTCCTGGATCATCCAAGATCAGACAGCCGATGTCAAACCACCTGACGGAGAGAGCATGCACAAGGACGCTCAGTTTCTCCTATTATGACATGATAGATCTCACGAGTGTCTTCAGAGCTCAACATGAAGCTCTTCCAGGAACGTCTGCTTCATTAGCAAAACCAGGCATCACTGACTGAATCCCACGCTCTCGCAAATTCTCTCATTATGAACAACAAGGTGCAGATATGATGTGAGATTAATTGTGCAGTGTAGTCTGCTTCAGTGAAGATAATGGGATTTTTGTGATAGTGATTGAAGTCTGTTTCAGTGATGGGGAACGTTCTTCGCTCGCTTTCTTATACAAGTTAATCCTAGTTTGAATAACTATTTTGTTTTTCATGCTATTAAGATAACCAATATGAAGTCTAATGAGATCTAAAGAGTAAAAAGCAATCAACTAACTGATCAATGATTCCGGAGGTCCTCCTTTGCAGTTTAAGATGGCTTTTGTTGACGATAATAACATTTGATTGGTAACAGTATATAGTATTCTGATCGATTGAAGTGATCGGTCCAGGATAACCACATTTGCAAAAGTGCAGAATTGTGGAATTCAGTCAGCGATCGCTTCGTATTGTGACGCCTCAGTCTATAGTATTCTGATTAACTGAAGTTATTACTATTAAAAGTATATGACATAAAAGACAACACAGATACGTTTAATAAGATAATTATAAAAACTGCCCTTACAAAGGTACAAATTTTGAAATAAAAATATTGTCCATTAATGGAAAAGTTCTGACCCAGATTCAGATCCAGTCGGATGGATGGGACTTATCCACATCTAGAGACGCTTTAGAGCTGTGGGTGAAGCGTTCTTACTTGTCTGGGAAGAGTTCTGCGATGAAGTTTTCCTCCGACACCACGGGCTGCTTCTCATGAATGACGGCAGAACGACGCAGACTGTCAATGCGCTCCTGAGCTCCCTACACACACACACACCAGCTTCAGATGAATTCATATGGTTTGAAGTCACATGAGTCAGTGTTTCCTGTAATATCACAGTTGTGAAATGGTTTCTTGTCATGACTCTCCACATGAAGCAGAAGTGTGCTCACCTTGACCCCTGCGGCGTATCCCACCGGCTGCGGGGCGATGTTGGACTGACCGGCCTCTCCCGTCACCATGGCCAAACCAAACACCTCCTGAAACGCGTCCCGCACCGCTGACACCTTCACCTCCTTATCTGACGTCACAACGATGTCCACATCTCCTCCAGACTCTGACACAGACACCATTTAATGACATAAATCACATGAACTGCTTTCCCATCAGGCCAAGTGGTTCTGAGCACACAGAGTAACGGTTCAGTACAGTACGATTACAGATCAATCCAGACAGATTCCTCAGCACAGGTAATGGAACCATGGAAATGGAGCGGCTTTAGCGATGCAACTGACACATACAACTAGGGCTGCACGATAAATTGAAATGGAATCGAGATCGCGATTCGACAGAAGCTGCGATTGTCGTGCGTATCTTTCAGTGAAGCACGGTTCTGTGATCAGCAGTAAATCTCCATCTGAAGGCCAGAGGGCGCTCTCGCGCTGAAACTCCAAATACACCTCGCAGAAGAAACCCAGGAAATCCCTATAGCGGTTGCTGAATAAACAGAAGATTCAACTGCTTTCATTGATTCAATGTGACTAATAAACACACGCCTACGGCAATATATGGTTTATCTGAGTTCTTATTATTATAATTTCAATTAAAATAAAGTATATTTATAATGCAATGCCTTTATCACTGCTTAAATACTATGAAATATGTTGCGTGCCTTATTCTGTGTAAGAAGCCACATCATCTCACAGAAGGATTTATTTCAAACACTCGAATGACGTTATGAAGTGAGCTTGGAGTAAAAATATGTTATTAAATGTGGTATTTTCACATGCTTTCAGATGGAGCAGCATTTACTTCACAGAGCCGTAGTTCACTGAGAAGCTATGCAAACAGCTGTCATTATCGCCAACGATTTCTTCAATTTCATAATCGCGCAATAATATCGTCTGTGATTTTTTTGCGTAGCTTGTCAGTGAACTACGGCTCTGTGTAGTAAATTCTGCTCCATCTGAAAGCACGTGATGATGATCTCCTGCTGATTACAGAACCGGCCTTACTAACAAAATGTGCATGACAATCACATTCGATTAAATGGAAGCTGCAGCAATGAACAAACTAAATTTAAACGAACTTTCACAGAAGCAGTGAAATGTTCCATACTGCTGGACACACACACACACACACACACGTCTGGTTCACTATCCTTGTGGGGACTCTCCACAGGCGTAATGGTTTTTATACTGTACAAACTGTATTTTCTATCGCCCTACACCAACCCTACACCCAAACCTACCCCTTACAGGAAACTTTCTACATTTTTACAATCTCAAAAAAACTCAATTCTGAATGATTTATAAGCTTCTGTACCCATGGGGACCTCAATTTAGGTCCTCACCATGAGTTGGTGTGTATTCAGGTTTAAGGCCCCACCAGTGTAGAAACACATGTACACACAGACACACACACACACACACACAGACACTCTCACACACACACATACAGAGCAGCACTCACTGATGTACGGTGCCATCCCAGGGTCCAGTGTGGTTATCATGGGCTCCACAGAGTGTTTGGTTTTATCCAGGACGGTCTTGACCATGGGGTTCCCAGCTACACCCTGAGATCACAACACAAGTGCATCAGGATGTGCACGGGAACAACAGCATACCGTCGTGGCCTTACACTGTAAACGTGCGTCCAGTAGTGTTAATTGTGTCAGCTATTTTGAATTTAGTCTTAGTCTTGTGTCAAATGTAACTTTTAGTTTTTATTATATTTAGTCAACTTGTCCTGTTTTAGTTTTAGTCAAGTTTCAGTCGACTAAATGTCTGAGAACTTTAGTCTAGTTTTAGTCAGTGGAAACGTACACATTTTCGTCATATTTTCGTCTTACTGTATAATGGTTAAAATGGTAATATATATATATATAAATACATATATAAATAGATAAATATTTTCCATATTATCATTTGGGAAATTTATTTTTACATTTCATCAGAAGTTGCTCTTTCACCAATAAGCGCAAGTCAACAGAATATTGACTCGTGTGCATGGTTTATTTTATCTCACCTAACGTAAGTGTACAGATTTATAGCAGGACATCAATTGGAGGCTAGATAAACACCAGACTTCAGATATACCCTCGCCCTGTCTACGTTATGAAAACTGGTGTAACAAAAACCTACTCTCAAATATTATAACAGATAAATTCCTAAGAGTAATTTCAATAATTCCAAATTGCATTAATGTTTCTCTTTTAAAAGAACAGCAAAAAACACTTATTGCTGCACAGAGGTTGCGTAAGTAATGTTACAATTAGCAAACAATACAGTGGAGATCCATGACAGAACACAGACTGCTGAATGACACTTTCATTCAAACGCAGATCGCTGAACTCCAGCTTACTCGTACAGTACTGTATGTCAGTGTTTCAGATCACGGCGCCTCCGCAGAGAGAGAGAGAGTGCATGTGAATGGTTGCCAGATTGCAGAAAGCAAAGAACCGGGCAGAGTAACGTATCCGTTTAACATTCACAAACATGAACGCTCGCATAATAGACGAACATTTTTCATCATTGATTTCGTTGAGGAAATTAAAAGTAGTGTCCAGTACCTTGATGAAGCCCCATAATCCTCCAGGTGAGCTGCTGTCTGGAGTCCCTCTGGGGTCGTCAGAGTCCTCAGGAAACGTGATGGGCGAGCTGACATCTAACCCTCCGGACACCGGCTGCCGCATCATGGGATTGCTGACGATCCCTGCAGAAACACAATCACATCTGAATGATAGGATACTGCTGACAGTGATGACCCATCATCCCCTTGTAGGTGACCACATGCTTGAAGTTATTCATTTTGCACAAAACACGCCAAAACCATCTCCATATTAGGCTTTTGTGTCCATGTTTTTGAATAAATCAACTGAATGAACCATTTTAAAAAGGGTCACTTGCTTCACTCCTGAATGAATCGGACATTTTGAACGAATCATTTGAATGAATGATTCACTAACTCATTATGACAGGGACTTGCGGACCTATTGTGGTTTTAGTTTCAAATGTAAATACACCCAAATGCCACCTCAGATGCAGTTTCTGTGCCACTTCTGCAGTGCAAAGATGGATCTTGTTGATACTGGATTCATTTGATTGGCAACAGCCAACAGTGTCTTCTAGCTGAATGTGATTAGATGTAAGAATTTGACATTTGATTAGGTAAAAATGCCCTTGGAAATCAATTTTTAAATGTAAAAGTTAATTTCTATTAAAGAACATGAAATGCTTCGGAAGTCAATTTCACACACGCCGATCTGTTTGTGGTTGTAGTGACCAGATGACAGAAGATTGTAGTTCTAGCTGAAGATGATGGAGAGCTTCAGACCTGGCATGGGTGAGGCGCTGGAGAAACTGGGCATGAGCGGCGTCTGAGGGGTGCGGCCCGCGTGGCCACGGGTGATGTCATATCCTGCGCTCACAGAGAAGCCAGTGGTGGGCGGGCCCATCGGGGGGGCAGCGGCGCTGAGCGGAGCGGGGCTAGCGTACGGGCCGCTCAGAGAGAGGGGAGGAGCAGATGACTGGATGGGCGGCAGCGTGGAGGTCAAAGCCACTGGAGGAACAGGGCTGGAAAACCCTCCCGGGGCAAAAGCAGAGACACCGGGGGAGCTGGAGAGAGTCTGAGGACCGGAGACACCTGAACACGAGAAGAGCACACATGAACCACTGATACAGGGCCAACAGACACACGACTGGGCACTTTCATGAATGACCTTCACCATCATATTACACTACGATACACCTGAGGCAGGGTAGACAGCATACCCAATTTTCTGTGAATGGAGACCAGGCATACAGTCTGTTCATGTCTTCTGTTGAGTCTAAATTTTAACTTTAAAGGTGACCTATTTTGCCCCTTTTTACAAGATGTAAAATAAGTCTCTGATGTCCCCAGAGTGTGTATATGAAGTTTTAGCTCAAAATACCTCACAGATAATTTTTTATAACCACTTTTAGGGTATGAGCCAAAACACGCCGTTTATGTGTTTGTCCCTTTAAATGCAAATGAGCTGGTGTTCCCGCCTCCCTTTTCAGAAGAGGGCGGGGCTTCAAGAGCTCATGCTCCAGCAAAACAGGACAATCTCACGCAATCTGATTGTACTTGTGCAGTAAATGCACATTTATAAATTACACAGACGGGAAGCATGTCGTGATAAAAATAACCACATAGCTGCTCTCATGGTGCCGTCGCGTGCTATCACATTATGAGCTCGACAAAGTGAAAACAGGCAGAGACAATGGTAGCTTTAGCAACATTAGCCTTTTGGGAACAAAATATGACGCATGATGCTTACTTTGTCTGGAGCTGACGTTCGCACACGAAGCGTTGGGACCGATCCCTCTTTCAGAAGCAATCTTTGCACAGCTCTAGCACTGAACTGACCCTCGTTTGTGAGGCAGTCCGGCGTAAAATGATCCGCATAAACATATAGGACTTTACCATTTTTTCTGGGACATTTCCTTCGAAAATGAAATGTAACTGCCGTGTCCTCAGCGGTCTATGGAGACTTCTATGCATCCATTGGTGCATCCCAACACATGACACTTGTAATGCCTCTTTGGCGCTGACATTGTGTCTCCAGCAGATATAGCAAGAAAACAGTAATGGCGGACTGCTGCTTCTCACTTGGGGCGGGGTCTATGCTAATAGGGCAGGGAGTGCCACAAATGGGCGGGACTTTCCCCGAGTATGATGTCAATATAGTGAGAAATCTGAGACCGCTTGTTTGGAGAGACTGTTTATGATTTATTGGGATTATAAAAAATGAGTGGGTGGATTTTTACCATTGTAGGATGGTTGTTTTCACAGACTGCGGCCACACAACTGTGTTCAAACACCTTAAAAAAAGTGATTTTTGCATAATAGGTCCCCTTTAACTTTAACACACGCGCAGTGCCCAGTTGCTGCATTCAGATCAATAACATCACCAGAGCTACCTCAATTAATAATAGAAATAATGAAATCATTTTAATTGTTGTTTTTGACTTCGCATCTGAAAAAAGCTGATCTATATCCCAGAACAGCTTTTTAGCAAACATTTAGTAAATATTCAATCAACTCGACTGACCAGTTTGTAAGACAATAGACAAAGTAAACAATGGCACGTTCATAAGACAAAAAAATGTAAACAAGCATCACAGCACTGAGCATTTGCACAATGTATTTTCTGAATTCAACTGATAAAAGAGTCGGATTCAAGCACTTTGTCCTTCTTTACCAGATTAGTTCAGGTCTACACCACAAAGAGCTCAATCAATGGAGCAGTTCACATGAAGGATTCTCAATCTGCTTGCGCCATCAATCCCATTACTAAACTAAGAATGTGCTCCACGACTTATTTCATTAACGTTAATGAAAATTTTGTAACCAACGAGTTTACTACTCTAACAAACCCCCAAAAGAATTTTTAAAAAGTCCTTACGTGAAAATCAACTGAATCAATAGGCCATGACCTAATAAGTACAATTTCAATTTTTATTAAGAGAATTCCTCAAATGTAAGCTAGTTAGCATAAACTGTAGACGGAGACATGGAAAATGTGCAGCACTGGAGCTCTGGGAACAGAGCTGAGAACCACTGCTTTAGTCGACTAGTCTCGCATCTTAGCTAGTGCTGTATCAGCTCCACAATCCACAACTTTACACCAGTTAACAAAATTACGACTCACTGAACCAGGACTTGTTTTCATTCACAAAATGACCCCTGATTAAGGTTGATGTCACAGTTCAGTGCAGTCTGCTGAAGGCGTTGAGACGACGCTCTGTGGGATCAACTCCAGGCCTGGGCCCATATCTCAGGTATAAACACATCCTGACGCTACAGTGCACAGTGTAAGGAGAAGTGTGTGTCTGTGTGTGTGTCTGTGTGGGTGTGTTTCTGTGTGGGTGTGTTTCTGTGTGTGTGTGTGTGTGTGTGTGTGTGTGAATTCACAATTTCCAGAACCGTGAGGCAGGAAACAAGTCAGAATTGTGAGATAAAAAGTTGCAATTACCACTTTGTAAGTGTATATACAGTATGTGTGTGTGTGTGTGTGTGTGTGTGTGTGTGTGTCTGTTTCTGTGTGTGTGTGTCTGTTTCTGTGTGTGTGGGTGTGTGTCTGTGTTTCTGTGTGTGTGTGTGTGTGTGTGTGTACCGCTGGCAGCCGCTGTGGAGGAGGAGGAGAGTGGAGGGGTGGCTGGTGGGGTGCTCGCTTCCATCATCATCATCACTCTGTCCTGCCGGTGATGAAGAACAGCAACACACTGGACAGATCAAACCACACACTCTTATTCTTCAGCTTAATACAGAAACACAATCTGTAGTTTATACACACGCCCTGAAGCCGTCATAAATCCCCAGAAGACTTTTGCTGATAAATAACCAGGGACGTCCTGGTGCAGGTAACACGCAATACACACTGTTCGTGTTCTTACACTAGAGACACTGGAGCTGTGAACTTACCTGTTAAGATATCTTTTCCTGAGAAGCCTTGTTTCAGGAAATACGTATCAAAAGGAAGCACAATTAAGCATAAAACATTACAAAAATACATGCCAATGTCAAAGGGAAAACAATATTTTCTCCGACCCTGGCCAATACTTTTTCTTAAGTGAGTTTTGCAAAAACTTATTTTTTTCAGAAAACAAGAGTTAATATCTTCCATTATTTTGTTTTAAACATGTTTAGGTGTTTTTACTGCAGAAGCAGAGAATGATTTTTGCAGTCACATGAGATGATCAGTTCACTGCAGTCAGACTGTCAGGACATAAGCATATCTTACCAATATTGACCAAATGTTCCTAATACGAATTATCTTATGAATAACACTCTGGAAGTGATGTATAAGTTTGCAGTGTGTTCTGTGGCTAACTGTGTTTAGAATGGACACGCTGAACGCTTTTACGGCAGCGATGTGATAAACTCGTAACTTACTGATCACCGATCGATCGATCAGTCTTATCGATTATTCCCGTCAAAACACACACCTCCGGAGAGCAAGCTACACTACACACATTTCACTTCGACTCGCATTCATGATGAAATATTAATGAGATATTAGAGATTCGCGCTGATATTTCGCTAGCAGCATTTTCCAGCAAACGGCGCTATTTAACGGAGTTTCTACACGATCCTAACTAAGAACGAATCATAAATCATATATCAAGTATCACACGACTTGATCAAACTGAGCGAACACAGAGGAGCACGGCCGCGCGCGCGCTGATGACGTCACGCAGCGCCACGTCTGACGCGAAACAGTGATGTCACTTTCCTTCAAATACTTCGGAAGTTATTTAGAAGTCGTAGGAACACACCAGACAACAGGCTTGTGTGGATTAGAAGTCGTAGGAACACACCAGACAACAGGCTTGTTTAGATTAGAAGTCGTAGGAACACACCAGACAACAGGCTTGTTTGGATTAGAAGTCGTAGGAACACACCAGACAACAGGCTTGTTTGAGATGCACTTCTTCTCACCTGAAATGTAGGCGGCTGCAGTGAGCGGAGGAGTGAAATAAGCGCAGTCAAGACGGACAGCTCTGACCTCTCGAAGACAGATATCGCGTTATTCTCACTCATGCACTGTGTTGCTGATAAACATGACATCATTTCAGTTCTGTTGCTTTTATATGAAAATAAATATGATGAACAAGACACTCAAAGTGCTTGCTATTTACTTCCATACGAAAGGTGCATTTATCATCCATTTGTACTTTAATACAAACATATTTTAGATTTTTATAGAAATATGACAACAATCACATATCTCGCACAGAGATCGCACTGTCATAGTGTTTGGGGATAGTCGTGCATAATTTAAATACATAATCACGTGAAATCAGATAAAAAATAAAACATTTTAAAAGAGAATGCAGCATCATGGGTGACTGAACCAATGCAATGAGCATTAAAGGGGTCATATGATGTTGCTAAAAAGAACATTATTTTGTGTATTTGGTGTAATGAAATGTGTTTATGCGGTTTAAGGTAAAACTCTCTTTGGATTTGAGACTTTAGTCTTTGCAACTTTACAGATCTTCTTTATGCACCAAGAGCTTGTAACACTTCAAAGAGAAAGGAAAAATTTAAATCGCATCATATGACCCCTTTAAGATGTATCGTCAGTCAGTCGTTTCCCATCATGATTTTGATCAGCGCAGTCAGTGGAGAGCAATCCGACACAGCCGCCTCGCTGTCACGAGAGTTTTTTGGCACACATCAGCATGACATCGGAGCAAGTCGGACGTAACTCGGACACTTTTGTAACCTGCATGCATCTCGCGGTGATCACCGGTGATCGGTTCTGCGCAGATTTTGCTCATCTCAAACAAGCCTTATGTCTTCATCATATCCAGAGTGACCTGCAGTAACAGTTGATTCTGGAAGTTGATGATTCTGGACAATGTTTTTTTTTCACTGCCCACCCAGACGAGAGCCAATAATGATTTTGTGTGAGCTATAAATAAAATATAAAAATGAAAGAATTCACATTTTCTTACTTTATTTGTATTAGCTTATTGTTTTAGTAGTTAGAATAAGTACGTTTTGGGCTAACTTAATTATTTAAGCCCCATAACCTTGCAAGTCGCTAATGATTCTCAACTTGAGAGGACATGAGCTGGAGGAAAAACAAAAACTAGAGGTATCTCGTATTGTTGGCGGGAAAGTAACCTATCCTACAGAAAAGCATTAAAAACTGCTATGTGTAAGCCAGGTTAAAGAGATGGGTCTTTAATCTAGATTTAAACTGACAGAGTGTGTCTGCCTCACGAACAATGTTAGGTACGTTATTCCAGAGTTTGGGCGCTAAATAGGAAAAGGATTTTCCGCCCGCAGTTGATTTTGATATTCTAGATATTATCAAATTGCTAGAGTTTTGAGAACGCAGCGGACGTGGAGGACTATAATGTAACAAGAGCTCGTTCAAATACTGAGGTGCTAAACCATTCAGGGCTTTATAAGTAATAAGCAAGATTTTAAAATCTATACGATGTTTAATAGGGAGCCAGTGCAGTGTTGACAGAACCGGGCTAATATGGTCACACTTCCTGGTTCTAGTAAGAACTCTAGCTGCTGCATTTTGGACCAGCTGGAGTTTGTTTATTAAGGGTGCAGAAAAACCATCCAATAAAGCATTACAATAATCTAACCTTGAGGTCATGAACGCATTAATTAACATTTCTGCATTTGACATTGAGAGCATAGTGTCACGGTTCATGGGTCTGTGGGCTCATTTCTGTGTCTGTGTGTGTGTGGGTGTTATCCGCTCCTTGTGCTCGTCAGTGTTGCCTAGTTACCGCGCACCTGACGAGCTGATCAGAGCGGTCACAGGTGTAGCTCATCTGCACTGCCTATATCTGGCTGACGTTTCTGTGGAGTGTTGTCAGATCGTTGTTGCTCATGTCTTGTCTGGTTCTCTGTCAGACCTTCTAGTTCCTGAGTTGATTCCCTCCTGTTATCTGTTCCCTGGAGGGTTTGGACTGCTCAGATTATTTGCTGCCTGAGCTGAGACTCTGCACTGCCGGGTTACCTGCACTTTCTACTATTGATGTAGTTGGAGTTGTCTAATAAAGACTACCTTTTCACTCGCAATTGAATCTTGAGTTTCTGTTTCACGACAGAACAATCTGACCATTATGGATCCAGCGAGTGCATCAGATTTAAGAGACTTTTTGGGTCACAGTAATTCACGCATGGATCGCCAGGAGGAACAGATGGCAGCCTCTAATCGCGCTGTTCAAGCCCTGGTCTCTCAGGTCTCGGAGCTTACCACCCAGCTACAACGTTTCCAGACTGAGTCCGTCCAGCAACACACTGCGCCTAATCCACCTGTGTCTTCTATCCTGGATCAGGCCGCTCGTTTCACCGAACCCCGCCTTCCGCCTCCAGCTTTTTACTCTGGTGAGTCCTAGTAATGCCGCTCTTTTCTTGCCAAGTGTTCTCTGTATATCTCTCTTCAACCATCGTCGTTTCCTACGGAGGAATCGAAGATAGCGTTTGTCATAACGCTGCTCTCTGGACGGGCGGCTCTCTGGGGAACTACCGTTTGGGAGCAGAGGCTTCCTTGCTGCACGTCATTTCAGTCGTTTTCGGATGAGATCAAGAAGGTTTTTGATCGGGCGGCTTCGGGCAGAGAGGCGGCTCGTTTTCTAGCGGAGTTACGGCAGGGAAATCGGAGCGTCGCGGATTACTCCATTGAATTCCGCACCCTGGTGGCGGAGTGCCGTTGGAATCTTGAAG